ACACACATTACAGCCCCACCTAAGCTTAGGTATTAAACCTCTAAAATATGTCGTTTTAACTTAGTAAATATGTCGGTTTGGTTTTCACTTGGTAATATATCATCATCGATAACATTTCTTTCCCCCATTACCATTTTATCATTTCTGTTTTATTTCCTCTATTATCGTTTATTATTTTAATCCCAGTGAACATTATTTTTTTTCACTGTCACGAAAGTCGAAGATAATCAATATTTTTGCTTCCTTATCAAAACTATTGCGTCGATCTTGAATCTACATCTTCAAGTGTTAATCGTGAATCTATTAACCGCAATAAATATATATATATATATATATATATATATATATATATATATATATATAAAAGACTAAAACGCTACCTCTAAAATTTATAATCGTATGTACTCAACTATCAACTGTGTAAAACATGGATGGGGTTGGGTTTGGTTTGGTTTGGTTAAAAAGAAAATTTCCAAATGAAATGTTCAAAAGGAGTTTGTGGATAGAGATTTGTCGATGTTGATATGAATGAAATAAATTTGATTGCAATATATTTATTGTAATTTCATATTTGATTTGTAGGGATATTTTCTTTAGAACAATTGATATGAATGAAATAAATTTGCTTGCAATATATTTATTGTAAATTTATATTTGATTTGTAGGTGTATTTTCTTTAGAACGATATAAATCTTAGTAATCATCTAAATATTCTTTTTAATAATAGTAATAATGAAAACAACACTTATTGGTAAATTAACTTGTAATACTAAATTAATGTTAATAACTAATTAACAATGATCTTAAATAGGTTAATTTCACCTAAATTGGATACCAAACGATTATAATTCGATCAATTCATTTCTCAATTCATTTCTCGGCCGAAAAAGTTTGGTTATCTGGTGATTTATTAAAGGTAGTATAAGCATATTTTTAATTAATTAGAGGAAAACTGATTGTTTTTTAACGTCTGCATGTTTTTAAAATAGACTGAGATTTAGATATACCGGTTTTTTTAAACATAAAAAATATTACAACAAACTAATTTTTTTCATCAACTATAACTTGAGAGACTAAATAAAGTATACAACTAATTCACAAATATAGTTTGGGGTGAGCACAAACCGAGTTGATAAAAAAATCCGATAAAAACGGAACAAACCGAAAATAATAACTGAAACTGATACAAAATTCGACGATGTGATGATTCGAAGGGCTAAAATTATGTTGGGATTCGATAATCAAAAAATTAAATGAACTTAGTTATTAATGTGGTATAAATTATGATAGCTGAAAAATAAACTTCATTAAGATTTTTGATATTATATATATGAACTACTTAATCGATAATATTGTTTCTATCCTAAATAACATTATAAAGTATTCAAAATTATAAAGTATGCATATTAATTCATCATTCCAAACTAAACATTTCAATATAACTCTATGTTTTTTCTGACCAGTATATCAATTTAATCTAACTATAATTTTTTTAACCATTATGCAATTTAATCTAATTCTATGTTTTTTCTAGCCATAATATCCATTTACAACTTTTACATCTCTCAATTCCTTTTTTTTCCATTATCAATTCCATAAAACTCTATACATACATCCACAGTGATATTTAATTATTGATTATCAATTATGAAGCGAAACAATAAATCATGAGTAGAGTATTGTTGGAGAATCATAAATAAAACGTTACAGAGTATTGTTAAGAATTATTGTAACAATACACTAAAAAAGTAGTACAAGGTAAGCATGATCAATTCACACTAACACATGGCTAATGGTTATGCCACTTTGCACAAGGCATGACTTGGTCGTTTAAAGGGGGTTTGTTTGTAAAATATTTTATTGAAAGATAAAAATGACATTGTACTAAAAATATAATTCATAAAATGAAGAAATTCTGACTCTATGTTATACTAGTTTGGTATTCCAATTCAATTGTGAATCGACATAACTCAACTCTATCTAAGTTGGTACTTCAAAGCATTAACAATATCTAATATTTCCCATTTATTAGATTGTTCAATTCAAAATAAACTCTTTGAGGTAAACCTGGTCTTCTAATTCTAATCTAAACAAGCTCTTAGAAATAAATTAAAAGATTGCATTAAGATTAATGTGTATGTTCCTAACAACATCCAATACTTCTCATAATCTTGAAAGCGTAAAAATGTGTGATTTTAGTATGCATCAAAATTAATTAATTGAAAATAAATTTAATGCTTGTTACTAGTTTCAATTCACAAAACAATTACAAATTTTGCAAATCAAATAACTTGAATGATCTAAATATAATTCAAGTGGCCAAAAAGAACCAAGTCTAGAACCAAATTTTTAATTAACATGAAACCATAATCACTAGATAGAAATTGAAGGAAAGCATCAAATCACATGACTGAATCTCAAACAACAGTCAAAACATAGAATCTTAAAGGTAGGGTTTTAGCCACATATGGCTAAAACAAACACAAAAGTCTACAAATGTAAAATAGTATGCAAATACGACTTACAAATTCGTCAAATAATGTTTCCAAATGTTTTAGTATGAAATCCTAATAGAGAGCTTCAAAATCTTCAATCTCCAAGTACTCTTTGATGAAGTCTATATTAAAAATGGCCTAATTCCCGTCATAAGGCTAAAAGGAAAAACTTCAAAAATTAGTTTTAGATGGGACACAACCGTGTGGAATTAGTGTAATTCCACATAGCTCGTGTGAAAGTAAAGTGTGTTGCCTTAAATGAGACTTCTTCCAAAGTTCATTGCCAAAAAGTTACATCTTTTCACATCACACGAATCGTGTGATTTTAGTGTAAACCAACACGACCCTTGTGAAGCCTTCAAGTCCACAATAGATCTTCAATCAGATGGCATGTGTGTCTTCCAAGAGTAAATGCCCCACATGGACCTTGTTACAAACTCGAGAATTAGAAACTCACCAGGAGTGGTGGAAATTAAGGAGTGGTGGAAATTAAGGAAAGGGAGATTACGATGGTTTAGAAAATGTCTATAAATCCGGTTCATATGGTTGACCCGATTCAAAGGACGTTCATCCTTGATTGTACGGATGGATTCGTGAATCAAGATTGTCAAACTATATATCTCTGGAGTTTGATAATATAACTAGTGTTTTGCATGTTATCCATGTAAATAAATATCTTTTTGATTGAATGAGATTTGTTTTTTACAAAAAATATTTGTTCCCGACCTTTTGACATGGGTGCTGGTAATGAACATCAATGTTGAATGAAATCGTATTTTGATGTGATAATTGCAGTTTTTTATTTACTTATTATGTATTTATTAAGATAGAAAATATAATTTTTATAGGACATTGTCATACGATGTTGCATATGTATTTTAACTAATTTTACTTGATGTGTTCTTCATTTCCTATCTACCAAACAACATGGATTACTTAAGCCATTCCATCCATTCTATTCCACTGGAGTAACCAACCACAACAATGGAATTATAAGATGATCTTAGGCTATCACCTTGTCCTTTCAATTGCTTGAGCAATTCCATTCCATTCGAATTCACATTCCATATGAACCAACAACCAAACAACATCTGAAATATCATCTCATACACTTACAATCATATCATTTGTATTATACTTATTTGATCATACTCGTACTGAAACTACTTAGCTTAAACTACTGCTACAAGCATATATCTAGAATGTTGATTAAGCTGAGGAAAAACTTGTATAAATTCTCTAATAATAGAGCAAAATCAAACACAAGGAAGTCATGATTATTAGCAAATGGTTTGATCAGAAACTCATTCAAATTTCTAAAGTTTACAGTTTAACAAATGAAACAAACCGTTCGGAGTCTAACAAAACAGAGCGAAGATCATCAAGAAACAAAATTCACCGAATGCCAATCTCCTTAGTTTTTGCATCCCGGATGATGGATCTTGTTTGTATAGGCATTTTAGAACCTGCTATCTGTATCGCCCTTTTAGCCAAACTTTCTGTTACTCCTCCCATTTCATAAATAATCTGACCTCGTTGAACTGGAGCTACCCAATGTGAAATAGATCCTTTCCCTCTACCCATTCGTACTTCTGCAGGTTTCGATGTTACAGATTTATATGGGAATATACGGACCCACACCTTACCTCCTTTCCCGCCGCGACGTACATTCAACTGCAGCGCTCTTCGACCAGCTTCCAGCTGTTTAGCTGTGATCCGTGCACATTCAAGCGCCTGAAGTGCGTATTTACCGAAACAGATCTCGTTACCTCCATCACGAATTCCTTCGATTCTTCCTTTTCGGTATTTAGGGAATTTCATTCTTTGGATATTCACAACGGTGCTATAGAATCGGAGGTTGATCGGTGAATACGAACCGGTTGCACTATTCAGATTAACGGCGCCGAGAGAGTCGGAGAGAGATGATATGGAGGAGCGAGCGAATCCGGTTGAGTGCATGGAAGATGATGATCGGACGGCTACAAGCGATCGAGCAATCTTAGCCGCCATTGCTATTGCCATGACTGTGAAATGGAAGATTAGGGTTTGAGATTGGGTCTTTTAGTTGATTTCTGGAAAAGGGCGAAGAAAGATCAATACCAAACCACGATTCCTTGTAGGATTAATGAAAATAAAAATGAACCTTAAATTCTTTAGAAAAGTCTATTTTATTTTAATTTATGAAAAAATCTAAAATTAAAATTCATTTATAAGAAAAACATAAATTATAGGTAAAAATGATGATTTGATCTTTTTTCCCGGTTTACAGGTTTTATTATTTTTCTGGTTTCAATAAAGTCTCATTATTTTATCATAATTTATGAATAAGTCTTAAACTAAAATTTAGTGATGATTTGACATTTTCTTCCTATAACATACATTTTACCGGTTTCATTGCTGACATGGATGTCTAGTCATTAAATGACCTTATGTGTTGGATTATCTAATGTTATGTTTACCATAAAACTTGATATCCTAATGTATTATATATTTTTGAACATAAAATGCATCCAACGAAGACTGCAATAATTAATAAACTAGCAACAATCCATCTCGTCAGACATCAGCTCATTTTCCATCCTTTTTTCCCTAGAAACACATATTTTACCGGTTTCATTGTTGACTTAGATATATAGTCACAAATGAGTCGACGAGATGGTTATCAAATTTTACGGTTGACCCAGCATTATATAACCCATCGTATTCATCTTATTAACTCATTTAATGACTAGGCATCCATGTCAGCAATAAAACTGGTGAAATATATGGTACATGGAGAAAAAAAAGGGTCAAATCATCATTAAATTTTAGTTTGGGACTTATTCGTAAATTAAGGTAAAATATTGGAACTTTAATGGAACTAGGTAAGTAATGAAACCGGTAAACCGGAAAAATAGGTCAAATCGTCATTTTTACCTGTAATTCATGTTTTTTCGTAAACAAATTTTAGTGTGAGATTTTTTTCGTAAATTAGGGTAAAATATTAGGGTTTTTTCTGAAGATTTTCCTAAATTGTAAATAAAAACTTTAAATAACAACTTTATTTATTTATTTATCTTTTGTATTATTCTATAAGTTAATTTACGGAGAGGCTTATGAATAGTACCTAGTATTGAGTCGACTCTAATAACACTTGGTTATAAGTTGTAGCTTCCTTGGTATAAACAGTTGATTCATCCAATAGTGTTCTCGAATCCTCATCTTCTTCAGTTACCACCCATCGACGACCTCAAAGGCCTCCGGAAAATCTTCTTTCGTCGTTTTCCTCGATTTCCCGTTTCCTTGCACAATACCTTCGATTTCCCGATTTCCCTATAAGTAGCGGAGAAATTCTCCTGAAACTCACCTGGTCCACCATAAAACAATGGCTGAGAAATTATCTGATTTTTCCACAATGTAAGAAATCAAGTGATGTAGTTGTCGGTGAATTCGAATTTCAAATTGTGAATCATATACCAACAAATGATTCATTCGACATGTTTTTGGGTTGAGATTTTGAATATTACCAATGATATGGAAGCTAACGATTTCGAAGTTATACTCATCTTTTTCTGTGGACCTGCAGATAATTCCACTTAAATTCGTTGGTACGTTCTTTGTATTCTTATTTCATGTTCACTTTTTTTGAGTGGTATGGTTTCTTAGGAGTTATTAGGAGCACTGAAGAGACTAAATTAATGTTGATATCCGCTCATGCTCGCAATAATTTAGGGTTACTTCGTGTTGTTCTTCATTATATTACTTCAATTTCTCTTATCTAGTGTGAAAAGCGCAAAGAACATGTCAATGAAAACATAAAATGATTGGGACCTTGTATGTTTATTTATGTGTATATTACTTCAAATCGAAGGAAAATAGTTGTAATGTTCATTTATATTTGGGTGCAACTGTGAATAAAGGAAAAACAATGTGATTTGTGGATTGAACAAGGAGGGCGAGATTCATATAGAGGTAGTTACATGTATTTGTTATTTCAGATTATTTTGATACGCGTTAATCTTTGTTGTACACCTTTAAAAAGGTTTCTACTGAGTCTTTGCAACAACTCTTGTTGGAATTATGTTGTCTTTTAGAGGCTTCCACAACAAAGGTAATTGTGTTTCCTTTTCTATTTTCATATTTTTGGGGGTCGATTGTATAAAGAATAACATTTATGCATTCACTTACATAAATTCCTTAAAAGGTGTTTAAAATTTGAAGTAATGAAAGTTAGTGTCAATTGTTGTAAGGTTGTTGGTGATGTGACATATATAGGGGAATACGACCCTCCAATTCCTAAGATGAGTTTTAAACTTCAAATGATGAATTATCAAAAGAAAACTTAGCAAATTAAGGAATTTACCATTTTACCCTTCCATTGGCAGGTTACATATGAATGGTTATTTAAATTTGCAACATGTGTCAAGGTATTCATTATTGAGTACATTGTACATAAATTAATATGTATAATAATTTTCTACTTGTCTAATTGTTTCAATTTCTAATTACAATGTCTGGAACGACGTCTTTGGTTTGGATTGGGCTATCACAACAGACATTGTGCGAGGTTGAAGAAAAATGTAAAGCTTAGCGTTTATACAAAACGAGCTCTTTTAATATGATTTTGTGATGTGTTTATTTGCACTGACAATTTTAAATTTATAAGTCCTGTCAGATCTAAACCAGGTAAACATAAATAGGCAGTGTACCTAGTCGCAAAATAGTATAGTAAAGGTAAGACAGGTGTTGAACACTAGTGAAACGAGTAGGGTTGTAAACGAACTGAACGTTCAACGAACTGTTCATGAACCGTTCGGCAGGAAGTTTGTTTATGTTCATTTACTTAATAAACGAACGAACATGAACACAAATTATCGTTCGTTTAGTTAAACGAACGAACATGAACAATGGTCTCGTTCGTTCAATTATATTTGTGAACGTCCGTTTATGTTGTTCATATAAGTTCATTTTATGTTCACATATGCCTAATTGTGTTTGATTACATTAGTGTATTATATGTTCATTTATGTTTATATATCTTCAATTATGTTTTTTATCTTTGTTTATTTATGTTCGTTTGTTTATGTTCGTTTAGCATGTTCACGAACATAAACGAACGAACATGAACAATGTAATTTGTTAAACGAACGAACATGAACAAGAAAACTCGTCCGTTTATCTGTTCGTGTTCGTTTATTTGTTCGGCTAACTTAAATGAACGAACATGAACAAGCCTCGTTCGTGTTCGTTTGGTTCGTTTACAACCCTAGAAACGAGTATGATTTTAATTAAAAACTAATGTTGCTAATTAAACTAAAGAAATAATTGTAAATTGGGGGGTTTTATCTGATTTTACAAGTTCAGAAAAACTTAATTTATTAACTTAACAATTAAACTAACTATGATTACTTTGACTATACCAAACAAACAGAAAACGATTTTAAATCAAGATTAAAGAGCACTTTCATTTAGCTTCAAATCACCTATACCTTATGGTTGATTTCTTATGAAATGGATTATTTAGTTGGTTACTGAATTCTAAGTTACTAATTATCTTGTTCCGATTTCCTAGTGTTTATCAATTCATGAACTACTATTACAATGGGCATGCAACAAGTGAACACTAAATTGATTCTAATATTTTTGCACTATGAATGACAAGATCTAGTGATTTTCTTATCTATGATCAAGACAATAACTCAAACCCTTCACTTAGGGTTTCATCAAAACCTTCAAAATCTTACCCTAAATCCGAAATTAGAGGGTTAGAAGATGAATTTCTTACCTTAATTCATCAAATTAAAGCTTAAATCAAGTTATCCCTTCAAAAATCGACCCATGCGGCTTAAGTGTGTGTTTTTCACACCTGGGGGAGTGTTTGGGTGTTTGGGTTTCGAATAGAATCATTCACAGATCATATTTTTATGGTCAGAACATGTTCACGTCGTGAGCCTGTCTTGCTCACGCCGTGAATACTGGCAATAAGCAAAGTATGTTGTTGATTTCCTTCCAGCTTTAGGCAGTTTTTGTCCCAACTTTAAATGCGCATTTCCTAGTGTTTATCAATTCATGAACTACTATTACAATGGGCATGCAACAAGTGAACACTAAATTGATTCTAATATTTTTGAACTATGAATGACAAGATCTAGTGATTTTCTTATCTATGATCAAGACAATAACTCAAACCCTTCACTTAGGGTTTCATCAAAACCTTCAAAATCTTACCCTAAATTCGAAATTAGAGGGTTAGAAGATGAATTTCTTACCTTAATTCATCAAATTAAAGCTTAAATCAAGTTATCCCTTCAAAAATCGACCCATACGGCTTAAGTGTGTGTTTTTCGCACCTGGGGGTGTGTTTGGGTGTTTGGGTTTCGAATAGAATCATTCACAGATCATATTTTTATGATCAGAACATGTTCACGTCGTGACCCTATCTTGCTCACGCCGTGAATACTGGAAATAAGCAAAGTATGTTGCTGATTTCCTTCCAGCTTTAGGCAGTTTTTGTCTCAACTTTAAATGCGCATATCTTATTCGTTTCTTATCCGTTTTTAATGATCTTTATATCCACGCGAAGGTGGAAACATAGTCTAAATGTTTTTTAAGTCATATCTAATTAAATTAATACAGATCTTAATCTATTAAGTCATGAAGTTGGCCTAAAAAGCATAAATATACCAATTTTGCCCTTTTGGCCAAAAATGCATTTCTCATGCATTCTTTCTCTACAACTCACTCATATAACTTCTTATAGTGACTTAAAAATGTTTTGACCATCTCCATGAAGTTACAACTTCATACTCCTACGTACGCCCAATGTACTCATCAGAGGCCAAAACTCACCATTAAGCTCTTATTGGGTTAAGTCAAGTTGTCCAAACTCTTATCTTAACCCTAAATGATGTCTTAAACCATAAAATCGAAACCTTTAAGCCTTTGCATGGATAAAGAGGGCTAAATCTCCAAAATCCTTACTTTCACAACACTCCAAACCACTTAACTCTTGTATGGTGCTAAGGAAACAATCAAGCAACCAT